TAAATAAGCTTTCAGAGTTTTAAGAATTACGCCAAAAGCATTATATAATGAAAAAATAACCTTACGAAATAATTTGTCCCCTATTCTCCGTAACTAACGGAGCTTCTCATTTAGATAACGGAGAACGAAGGGTTTTTTCGCAACTGCGCAAAATCGAAATAACGAAGATCATAACAAAGGAGCAAAACAAGAGCCCGTATTTTTGGCGTTCACTTCAGATTCACAATGTTATAAGAAGTAAGCTAAAAGATGACTAACTGTACCATGTGGGTCGATTAATTTTTCTAAGAGAAGCTGCTACTCGCATGTAGACACATATGAAGTGGGTGATGGAGGACTGCTGTAAATACCCCTATACATTTTATACTGAATATCGACATTGTATTTGTATTTTCATGCTTTATATCGAAGATCAACAAAGATAAAAACAAATCGCGCTCCCCATGACAACCAAGTTGTACTGACACTGTCAAGCATAAATGCAGAAGACTCATATGTTGACTATACAATTTTCAAGACATTGGGACAAAACTTATAACGTACGTCTGTGAGCTTACACAAACTAATGTCAGCAAATAGAGACCGATTGGGCATGCATGTGTGAGGGAGATGGATGTATGAAAGTACTCGTAATTCTAGTTGTTTTACAATCACCCGCCAAAAACCGCGAAAAGGCCTATAGGTGACATTTGTGGTGTGGAACATTCATCCTTATATATATATATTATATATATATATATTATATATATATATATATATATATACCAAGATGAGACAGAGGCATTCATAATAAGCGAAACTGATTCCTTGAAAACAGTGATTGAAAAAACAAGTTTTTAAAAACTCTCAATTTGGAAAACCTTAACCCGTTACGACCTAGATGAATATAATAAATATGGGGCTCAAAGCCTCAGCTACAAAACAAAAACACTCGTCATTGAGAACATTCACATTTTGTCTTCTTAGTCCATACACTGTTATAAATACGTTTTAACATTGCGATTTAAATAACAACTCCTTTGAACCAAACCTTATACGAAGACATGTCAAGAGATGTACTCTCTGTAGGAACAACAGTTTTGGTTAACAGATCTATTTAATCACAGCTAGTAGTGAACATTTTTCATTTCACTAGCCAAATATGCCTTAGATGAGGTCCAATAAACGTTCAACTATATCTCATTACCTTTTAAAAAGCTTAATTTTTAATTACCTTAAAATATTAAGAGTGACCTGAAAATAGGCACAATCAAACGAGAGAGCAAAGTTAAATTCAAAAAGCGACGATTTCAAAAATAAAAGAAATACTGAATATTATGGATAAATCTGTTGGAAACATACTATGATATCTACTTTCGAGTTAAAAACGTCCACTTTTTGATCCCATCTTGTTTTTGACAATACCCTCCCGTATGTTGTTTCATTGACAACAAACCAAATGCTGTTTTTCATCTGTTTCTTACCTGCTCATCTAAATTTACTCTAAAATCAATTTAAATACTTGAGATTGGTTCCTGGCCAGTCTGAGGTATGTTTATCTAGATACATTCTTCAATTTCTATTCAATCTTCTTCAATTTCACATGTCGACAAACGTTAGTTCTAGATGATCCCCGTTCTTAATCTTTTCTAACGCCTTTTTCGGAGGAGTATACCGATTTTTGGATTGTGATTCTGGTAAGAAAAGGTAATACCATTGGTTTACGCATTTTACCTGAAGATAGCCAACCTAATGCTATATTCCCCCGTCCAAAATTATCAGAGATAAAAGTAGAAGCATACGGGGAAAATTTGTCACCACTGTTTCTATATAAGTAGTAAGTATATATATATATATATATATACTCAGGGTGTTGACGTTTTAGAAAAAAAATGGAAATCAATTAATATTTTCAGAACCGCTTCAGATATTTCACTGATATTTACTACGTAGTGAAAGTTAATAAAGTTGCATATTTTTCAATGCAAAAATAATTTTTAGCTTTAACAGTGGCGTGCGTACGGGTATTGACTTCGATATTTTTTAAGAAAAAAATGGTACGCCAATGGTTTTTTGCCAAATATTCCCCGTTGAATGTAAAACAAATGATCTCTCTTGAATTGTTTCCCTTCGATGCGCCATTTTTGAGTAAACAAATAAAAACCGTTCTATTGTCTAACTTGCAAAATTATTATTAATTTAATTGGAAAAATTAAACACATTAGGGGTAATGAACAACAACAACTACTGACAACATAAACATAACATTAAAACCAACGAAATGATTACAAAAGTTGTTGAAAATGGCCCCTGGCAAAGCACGATCGGGATATCTCTGGTGATAAATCCGTCTGACTTGCTTACCATTACCGTCGGCCAGGCCATATACGTAATGCATTTCCACCATTTCTGCGTTTGAATAATTCACCATTATTAACAAGATAGTAAAAACTAAATAATGAAAAAGAAGTCACAGCGAACATATTTGAATAACAGAGACTTGTCAGATGTCAAAAGCCAGTGACATATTCCACAGCAACGAGATATTTATTGCTAAATTGCATTCTTCAGTTATTACATTAAGTTTCTCGGACAATAGAACGGTTTTTATTTTTTCACTCAAAAATGGGGCATCGAAGGAAAACAATTCAAGAGAGATAATTTGTTTTAAATTGAATTGGGAATTCAAAAATAATTTCTATTCGGCAAAAAACCATTGGCGTACCATTTTTTTATTAAAAAATATGGAAGTCAATACCCGTACGCACTGTTAAAGCTAAACATTATTTTTGCATTGAAAAATATGCAACTAGAGAAACAGCTGTAACCCATTCTTACAGTACGGATTCTCATTTTATCTCGGAGAATTTTCTGGACGCGCTAATATAGCATTAGGTTGGCTATCTTCAGGTAGAGTGAGTTTGATTAGTGGCAATAGATAATACAGTAATAACTTTTTGTAATATGGCAATTGAATTCCAAATCTTTATCTACCAATGTATCAAAAAAGTACATTTGTTAATATAAACTTGAAATAGTTTTATATCAATGTAAACACTCTATAAGATATGAAGTAATTCTAATTAATAGTGAATAATTCATTCGGATTAAGTTCACAAAAATGTTTTACCTATGTATCAGTCCTCATATGGACTCATTGTGGAAGAATATAATACAGATTTTCAAATTAAGTAACCCAAAAATGTTAACATGTAAAATGCCCTTCATAGTAAAATCAAAAATAACCTCAAGATTTGGAATCCTGTCCTATGATAAGTTAGCACTAAAACTTAATCTATTGTTAGTAAGGTAACAAAACATAGATAGGGTCATTCAAGATATCTTTTGACCATAAATTACTTTAAAAGAAAAATTTCTATAAACACATCCTAAAATGTCTCATCACCCAGATTCAGAATTATGTTGATGATGAGATAAGTTTATTACTCTCGTATTTACACTACAAACAATTTTCAACGTCGTACTAATCTACTTCAGCGTATTTTAAAAGTAGGGTTGAAGTTGTTTATATGGATTTTACTTCAAATATTTAAAAAAAAAAACTCCAAAAGAAGCAGCCTGCAATAGTGGGTGGTGTCGAAAATTATTTTTCTTCATTATGTAGCGGAAAATTGACTTATTCTACGCTACTGGCATATTCTCATTCACAAAAATTGTAAAATGCACAACATTTTGATACTCCACTCCAATAGTTTTTTCATTTTATAATTTCAAAACCCTGTTTCTTAGTGAGGGAATATTTGAGGACCAATCCTTATATGAACTTTTCGTGTTATTTTTTTATTTTATTCATCAGGAATATTACCACAGTTTTCGCAATCACCCTTTATATGTACATTTTTGCATCATAATATAATACTGTTCAAAAAGCGAAAAATGCAAGAGTAAAACTGATATATGACGTACGAAGACAGAACAATGCATACACCTTGTAAGGTTTTCTCCTCACCCAACGAAAAATGAGTACGCCACTACGCCAACAAGAAGAATCATTACATTCCGACTATGAAGTGATCCAAATGAAATCAATTTTCGGTTTTAAAGTTTTCCAGATTTAAAAAACATGTTCCTAAAGGACATTGAGAACTAGAATTATGAAATTGTGTGATGTTTAATTTGTACTTATATCAACAAAAAATAATTTAATCACACAGTTTTTTCAAGAGGATAAATACCATTGTACTTTTTTATCAAAATTCAACACCAATAGTTAAATATTTGCCAGACATGTTGAATACAACAAATAAAGCAATGTCAACAAGGCAGTATAGTTATTTAATAATGGCTATACAAAGTAATGGAAATGAGATAATACATTTAGGAAGGTTATTATCTTTAGTCGTTTATCTTATCAAGACAAACAACATACCATCAAGTACAATGATTATTTTATAAAGCCTACCTGATAAGTTTCTGGTACATATAAGCATTTTTGAACAACTGTTTTACAGTATGTCATTCATACAAAAAGAAGAGGTACCTCACAGATAAGTGACTATTTTATAAATTGTAAACAAAATTGTACTTTGTAGACTGTATGCTCTTAATATTAGTGTGATTTTTTCATCAATGATTCAATTGTTCTAGCTTTACAAAGCTTCACACATTTAGGTTGTTTAATTAGTTAAGTATAGTCAATTTAAATGATAACGTATTTATGTATAGCAAATCCCATCGGTTTTGAATATTCTTCTATTTTTTTGTGTAACTTTAAAAGTATTTCGATTAGTTTAGTGTTTCCACTTTTCTCTTATATGGATTAAAAACACTGTGAATCTAAAGTCAGAAACGTTCAATTCCATTGATTTTGTAAATCCATAATCTTGATATGTGCTATTATGGAATAATTAAATTTGATTACTAATTCTGTAGTTTAATGTCTTATTGTTTAATGTACATCCTTCCATCATTCCTAAAAATTAAAAGAACACGAGAATCAATTTTTGACTGTATTGCAATATTTGCAGGATATATGTAAAAATGCATAATACACAAAGAACTTTAGAAAGCATTCCTTACTTTATTACGAGTATATATAACATTTTCTCTAAAAATATATACAACGATAGATCTCATGACCTAATAAGCTATGAATAGTTAAAGCAGTAAAACATTCGAGAACAATGCTACTCGGCCATCGAACTTCGATCTGTCAATAAAAAAAAATATTCAGAATATATAATTAGAATAGAAAGTGACTGATGGGTTATGAAATATGTATGACTTTAGAAACATACATATGTACAACTGGTTATCACTTATTGAAGGTAATATCACATAGTCCTGACAAAAGGAGTTGTTTCGTCAGCCTCTTCACTTCTTGCATAGTTCACTAAAAACGAGAGATTAAAATCAGGCTCCAGACTCGCTTGAGTTTGTGCTTATTGATTATAATTTTTTCGATTTCAAGTGTTTGGTGAACTGAAACTCAAGATTATTATCTTCTGATTCTGTTTGCCTAGATAATCAGGGTGTTATTAATAGTACGTAATTACAAGCGCATATTCATGAACCAATAATACAGGTAAGAAAATCTATCTAAACATGTCTCTAAAAGATCCATGGTGTCAAAGATTAAAAAAATACGGTTTTTGACAGAGAAAAATAATAGCAAACTGTCAGGGAAAAACAAAAATATGTTCACAATACCAGAACATTCCTTAGCAACAATAAAAGTTGATTTGATCTTATTTTGATACTTTTTTAACTTGTAATGAAGTTGTTTTTTTTCCTCGCAAACAAAGTAAGATACGAAGGGATACCAAGAGACAAAAAATTTGTATCATTAGCTGATTTATCAGATACATGTGTTTTTCAAAAAGTCAGTCATTTTTTTGTCAATATGATTTGTGAGACTGTCCCCCAAAACGCCACTGGAATTCACAATTATCTTTCAGCCAGTGCTAAGTTTACGTCTTATTGCAGTGAACAATACTGCCTAAATTCAACACAATCGGCACAAGGTTCTTTGAGGTATTGGTAAAAGACCAAGATTGTTTGAAACTTTGACACCCTATATCTGGAAAACCAGACTTTTTATGCCACATGTTTGTATGGACTTTTAACTTAAAATGGGTCAGGAATTCGCCATTGTAATTACGGTATATCAGTAAGTAACACCCTATACCTACATCCTATAATTAACTCACAGCATCTGTACAGTATCTACAGATTCTACGAATTGGAATAGTCTTGATCAGAACATGTTGTGACACTATTTTGGAAATGAAACCAAGTTTTTATATTAAACTAACTATTCTGATACAACTAGCTATATTTGAGTAATATCTGAAAAAACAAATTTGGAAAAAACCTCAATTTCTGATTATTCTAATTCAGACGAAGCGAAAACCTCGAATTCGAGAGACATTTTACAACTAATTTTTTTCACAATGATGTTTGTTGTGTCTTTTCGTGTTTTTTAAGTTTATTGGATTGTTAGTAATTATTCTCTAAAATTGACCGTTTTTCAATGCTTAAAAACTCGGTTAAGAATCATTTTATTTTTTAAGGTTGCCAAGTTACAAGATCCCTAAAAGTATTTTCAGCTTAGTTTATTTTAAAGCATTTTAAAGCAACACAACGAAAAAAGAATGTCAAATGCAAAATATAAATAAAACACTCTTCGCCTACTGGCACGCAAAAGTATAACTGATGACATTTTGATCATATCCGATATTTTCTTTTATTTTTTTTTTTCGTTTTTTGTCTCATAACTTTATAACACATAAACAGAACCATCTATTAAACAATGTCTCTCCAAAGAGCATGCTAAATATCTACTATATCCGCATAAGCTCAATGATTTAACCACTTATCTCTATCTACAATTATCAAGATTCAAACCTCAATAAAAATAAAACCCTTGTATTATCTCATTTCTCATTTATCGAAGCACATAATACAACATAGAATGAACAGTTACACTGACTAATATTGTCAATACAATACTGCAAAACTTCAAAAATCATCCAATAAAACTTCTATTACCTCTAACTTTAATAATGTACTGCGCCGCAACGTGGATGATGCACAATATGAATGAACTGAATCCGAAATATCGGAAAGTCAAGCTGCCTCCGTATGACCTATAGCTGAGTCCAGCTACAGTGCTTCCCAAAGACACACCAATGCCTTCAAATACTGCTCCCACCATACCCTAGAAAAAAATGACGTCAAGTAGGTTTGCTCTGCACTTCTTACGCAACATGAAATAATGTTGAATCAATTAAATATTTAAGTATATATACAAAATGTATTGATAATATACTAAAGTTTAAGGATAACAATGAATACATTATTTCAAAAATTGCAAAAAAGAAGCAAATTACTTTTAAAGGGCTTCTCATATTAGTAGTAATAGTTTATAATACATAGTTTATAATACAATTGTTCTACTGCATTTACTATATTGTTCAATTATCTTGTTCACTGTCAATGAAGCTGTACACTCAAAATTACAAGTCCTGCAAAATAAAGCTATGAGAATAATATTGAATAAAAATAAGTACACCAAAATAAAATCTATGTTACAAGAATTGCAGTGGTTGAATATAAAAAATTTCATATCATTTGGTTCTTATTTTTATATTTCAAATAAAAAATAATCTTTTGCCACAACATCTAGAACACTACATATAATTAAATAATCACTACCACAGAGGAAACATCGATTTTCATTTACAAAAATACAATAGTAATATAACTAGCAAATCAATATGTCAGAAAGGATTACTTGAATTTAATAAACTAAATTGTGGTACTTGTAATTTGAAGATGTTTAAAAGAAAATTGAAGGAATATATCATGGAGAGTGAAAATCCTTAGAGATGCAAATTCTGTTTTTCTAAATACCTGTATGTTATGTAACTGTTGTAGTTTTAAAAACAATGTATTTGAAGCAATCATGTTATGTAAATAAATATTAAACAAACAAAAAAAAAACATCAATTCATATATGGCACAAAAAAGGAAAAAGATGGCTATGGACATGTATAACAAAGAAATTAAAGGGATCATGTCAGTTAAACAGGTTCATACAATCAGTCTATAGTCCTAGTCCCCACAGATTTGACAACATTGTAATCTAGCTTACCGCCCTATAGACAGTACCGACTATCCAACAACGTGACAACTCTGCCGTTATTCATCAGCATTCGAAGCAGAAAGACGTGAGTGTCCAGCACGCGAATATCGAAAATATATCTCATCAAAATTGACACCCTTACCCATACAACCCCCCATATACAATTTTAATCCGCTGCACAAAATTTTCTAAAAATGATCAAGGTCCTCTGAAACGCCAAAAACGAAGTTTGAGCAATTTTTATTTTTTGTCTGTAGCTTGGCCGAAACTGTACCATTATTTAAAAATTACAAAGCTTTTTCGTTCTTTGCATAATAGTAGCCAAAAATGTGTGTGTAAAAATTTCATCAAAATCCGAGCGGTACTTTCCAAGTTATGGACTGGTAGACGATTAGCGGACAGTCCGACTGAAACGAGTGACATGGTTTTTCATAACATCCAAAAAATATATCATTTTACTTTTAGAAATTTTTTAGCAATAAAAATACTTTCCCGGCAGAGGCGTAGGAAGTACAATAATACTTGGAAAACTTGTTGCATTTACTCCTAAATTCAGCGCTTTTGTGCCATATGCTCCCATCTAGGGAATGGAGAATAGGTACTTCTACCGAGAACCGAGACTCAAGTCCCAGGATTTTCTGAAGTTTAGGGTAGAATTGAGTTTTTGTTGTCAAAATCAAAATACAATAATTTGGTGTGAGGTTAATACCAATGGGTAATATGAATGTTATTCAAATATCAATCAATTATTTTTGTTTATTTACAGCCTACATTACTATAGAATGACGCCTTCGACATTATTTTATACTTTAGAGCTATAAAATTAGGAAAATTAACTAGTAAAAATAGAAGAAATACATGGTAAATTTAAAATGTCGAAACGCAATTGCCGCGAGGTCACCATTTGCGACTTGTGACCAGCCAATCCTTTGTTGATTGGTCAGTCAGATTTTAAAATGGCAGGCGTTTGTTCTCACTATGATTGGTGTCTGTTTGATGTAATTTTTAGTAATAAACAACCTATAGATACTTTGTAATCACATGAATTGTTAAAAACTAGATAGTACCCTAACGAAAAATACACTTAAATGACAAATCATGAGATATGACGTCACTGGGGTGCGCGCCAAAAATGCAGGTTCAAATCATTAGCATTAGCTTTAAATGTTTGATCAAAAATAAAAATAGACATTTCCATGATGAAAATATGTATTTACGGTATTATATTAACGTAAATAATCGACAGAAAATACAAAAGACAATTATGCATATGCACTATTCCATATCAAATGTATAGCCCATTTAGTTTCTTTTGTGTAAAAACAGTAATGCATTTCACTTATACTGTTTATTATAAGAAACAATATTCTTAGATAACAAGTAGTAGGTAGTGATGACCACGCGCAAAACAGGCGATAGAAGGCGAACGAGAATATTACTTTTAAACGTATATAATTCAAACCATACTTCTATCAAAAAGTTTATTTAAACATAGGCTCGAAAGCGAAGAAAAACCCCGGACAAGGTTTTGCGTGTCCGATTCTTAAGTTCGACTCAAATTTCCTAGAAATCCCAGGATTTTCGGCACCGAGATCTCCAGAAACTATTCCCTCCACAGCAGACTATAAAAATGCAGATATTTGAAAAACCAACAAAATGCGGATATACTATAATTAAAAAACAGATCTGTTCCAACAGGTTTTTTGAGTATAATCATCTGAAGTAGGTTATCTTTTTCTTGCATCTCAATAACGAAAAGATGAAATTTTTGACACATTTATTTGAAAACTAACATCCAAATAGTAATTTTTGATGACAATATATTGAACAAATTGAAAATATTATAACCATAATATTAGGTATTATGAAATTCAAGGGTAAAAACGTATTGGCACACTATAAAAAAAGGAGTAGATAAGATTTAACGAAATTTATTTACAGCTAGTACTTTGTTATCATACCATTTGCGTCAATTATAGCCTGAAAGGATCGTGACAATTTCTGTTTGTGTGTGTTCTGAGTTATTTCTAGTCTAATTTGGTCCCATTTCTGCATAAGAACATTTTGTAGCTGTTGTTTAGTAGACATTTTATTTTTTCAGGCCTTCAGGTCCACTAAGTACCGGAAATGTTTAATGGGATTAATGTTCAGGGATTGGGGGATTGGGCAGGAATATTGCAAAGTAACCATTCCTTTCTTTTAGTGGCGGTCTTCTTAAGATCGTTATCCTGTTGAAAGATGAATGTTCCTCTGATCCACATTTTTTAGTACTACTGTTCAAGTTATTGCGAAAGATGTCAACAAACTTGACTGCATTCATAATGCCTTTGATGAAGCTTAGCTTTCCAATGACAAGCAGCCTCAGACTTGACACCATGATTCACTGTTGGGCTGACGTCTTATTTTCAAATTAAACATTAGGTTCCCCATACATATTTGCGACCATCAGCCGAAATCTTGATGTTACTTTAATCTTCAAGATTTCAGCTCTGATGGTCGCAAATATGCAAGGAGAAAACCTAATACTTAATTTGAAATGAGACATAAATTGAACAGCAGAACTGAAAAAATGGGGATCAGGCATAACATTTATCTTTCAACAGGATCCTAAACAAACCGCCACTAAAACAAAGGAATGGTTACTTTACAATGTTCCTGCATAACTCAAAACTCCACATCAATTCCCAGATCCTAATCCCATCAAACATTTTTGGTACTTGCTGGACCTGAAGGGCCCCAAAATTTCTTGCAAACGCTAGATACAAGATGTTCTGATCCAGGAATGGGACCAAAAATAAATCAGAATCTCCATGCCATGGTGGCTTCAGGCCATAATCGATGCCAATGGTATGATAATCAGGTACTAACTATAAACAAATTTTGTTAACACTTATCTACTTATTTGTTTTTTTAAGGTGCCAATATTTTTTTGAGCTTTGAATTCCATAATGCCTATCACTATTCTTAAGTTATTTTTAATTTGCTCAATCTGCAGCCATCAATAAAGACTATAAAGCTCATTTTTTCGATATTGAGGAAAATATAGGGCTGGCCAATAATTTTTAGACCCACTGTAAGCCTGTTGGACTATATAAGTATTTCTATGAAATAAAGTAGATAAAAAAATAACAATAACAGTTTAGATAAACATGGTAACCTAATTAAAATACAGGGTGTTGAAATTATAATTTTCAAATTGAAAACAAATCTTCGGAATGGATTAAGATACTGATTTAAAATTTTGTACATGACATCATAGCCAATACATTCGATACAAACATGTTTTGTGCATAAGATTACATCATTAGGGTAGAAATTGAGAAATTATGATTCCTGCAGAAGGAAAACTAAAATTATTTTCTAAGCCATTAACTTTTTTGGAAAATCTATTACGTTTCAAGTTATCATAAATCGTCTCTCTTCAGAGATGTTTAAAAAAATTGTATTGAATATTTAAATTAAAAACTTCAGTCTGTTCTATACGCTGAAGTTAGTGAAGTTTAACATTGGAAACTGTATGTATTATATTGGAAAAGTAATCCTAACTCACCATAGCATTATTTGAACAATGTTCTTGGTTTGCCTGTGTTCAATCTCATCAGTGACATAGAAATTTACATCGCCTTGTATCTTGGGAATCGGATATTTTAGGATCTATGTTTATAGTAATGGTTTTTATTTACGTATTGTGTATAACTATTTTGTTGTGTATCTAGAAAATATACCTGGACAGTAGCTTCAGTTCCAGGTGGAGCCACGATGCTGGCATACGAAGCCATACATGCAAAAGATAGTCCAAAAGTAAGTCCATTAAACAGTTCAACAGGTAATGTCAGCCATGGATTAGTCACTAACGAATGCAGTACCAGCCTGCAGCCTAAGCCCAACAAAATTAAGGACATGGTGTTTTCGTGGCCGATTTTCTTCAGGATTCTGCCTGATAAGAACAAAAATGGTACCTGGAAAAGAGGATTAACATACAGAATTGTTTGAACCACAAAAACAGGCCTTAGTATCCGTGGGTACCGCGGGGCTATAAGGGGATGATGAGATAATGAATATCTCCTACCAATGGTTTACCAAGCTGATCTTCATCCTTATCCTATACGATGAAGATGATAGAAACCCCTACGCGTCTGACCCCTACGCGTCTGGTTGATAACTGCTTGACGTTCTGCGCAATGCACAGATAGATGTCGCACCACCATAACGGTTGACCCCTCTAGCAGTAAATACAGGGTCCGGCAGAAAGAACGCAAGTTTTTTAAATGAGTAGTACAGTAACAAAATAAGTATGGGAAAAAATATTTTATCATATCAAAATACTCAGAATACTTTCTAAAAACTATGTCGGCCATATGGCGCCCTTGAGCCGAAATGCAGGAATCAAGCCTCTCCCGAAATGAGCCCATTGCGTCGGCCAGCATCCGTGCAGGAATTTGAGTTACTTCTCTTCTTATTCCCTCCTTCAAATCGACGAGGGTCCGAGGCTTGTTTTGATAAACTTGTGATTTCAGGTAGCCCCACAAAAAAAATCACACGTTGACAGGTCCGGCGAGCGAGGGGACCATGGAATATCGCCATGACGTGAAAAAACCTGCTTGTTTGTTCGTCTGTCTCCAGGGCTACTAGACCTATACCGCTATGACGAGCTGCAGAGACGGAAAGTAAATATCTCCATTTCAGAAAAACAAATAGTAAAGAATAATCTTAATACCCATGACTAACGAATGAAACCACATATATTTGAAATTCTTCTTCAATGTAGTATACATTCCGGTCACAATGGTGACCTTCTTCAGTACATGACCCTATGAACAATATTCGAAAGGTACAGTGGAAAAAATATTAACTTCACAAACAGTAAGTTTCGAGAAAAGTTAAATTTAAAAGTTTGAAGACTCCGAGACTCATTGTACAGGGTGGGTCATAGATCTGACGGAGTACCATAAATTATAAGAAATTGAAAAGTTAAACAGGGTAGCACAAAGCTAGAAGAAGACCAAACATTTTTTAATGGAAAATCCTTTTAATTTTTGTATTTTAAGATTCTCCTTATTATTTTAAACGTTTTTATGAGTTAGCGTCCAAGTCTGAATTGAACTTTTTTTGGGATGTTGATGTTGAAAATGAGCCTTTCATCATATGCGACACCCTGTAATATCTAAGGGTTGATTAACCAGCAAAATGCCTATCTTAGGTTTTACGATCTGTTCTAATATGAGAACTCCCTTAACAAGTAATGTATTACACAGTGCCTAGAACAGGTGATTTTCTAACCTCAATAGCTCAAACACAGATTTATTTCTTAATATTTTTTTAATTGGGGCAGGAAAAAACAATGAACCAAAAAAAGCTTTATTCAAAAGAATATAGAACAAACAAAACAACAATAATGGTAACTGCTTAAAAATGATTACTCAACGTTTATTTTTTTCGTCGCAGATTGTAGTAGCTACTATAGTTTCGGTAACGATCAGTGGACGTTCATCTTTTTTTCTCATATAACGGCTGTGACATTCACCTTTTTTTCCCTGCACGGAAAGTTTGTATAACTACGGACTGTCGTTGTTTATTCGAGTTTCCGATAGCTCATAGGATTTTACTGCGTTAAGTCTTTATGTTGCCGATTCTAACTACAAAACACCAAATTTGTGACATTCATATGTTTCCCCTGAACCATTCATTTTATTTATCGACTTCCAGGTGACACTTCGTTTGTTGTTTCTTTTCATTTTCAGATTCCTATAGAGTGTGTTACTACAATTGTATGAAATGTCCGTAACATACCAATATTGCGTGAAGTCATCATTCAAAATTTTAAGATGGCTTCACGCAACACTAGCATAGACCAGAACCGCCTGGGGTAGGCATTCCTGCTGACAAAAGGACGTCTAGCCCCCCAAAACGAGCGTGTAAGAGGTTATCTGTCGATTTTTGAATGTACCAGATACGTCACCCTCGTCCATCGCCAAAAGCTATAAAAAAAACGCGAAAACCCAACCAGGAATGTTGTCGTAACACACCAGTTAATCGTCATGCAGTCTGCGACTAAAGTGTTGCAAGTGCATTGTTTACGGATCTAAACCGCGAGAAATAGCACTTCGACATCTAAAGGGAACCAAGTTGTTTGTCCTGTGAGATGGCGAAGTAAAATATTTTCGCGCTTGAAACACAACAACAAACCATGAGATAAGTTTTGGATGTTAGAATAATCTTACTTTTGTTACAAGAATGCATATTTGAAAATTCTATTTATTTGGACAATCGGAAAATTCGCAATGAGTGTGAAATGTATTTACTTAAATGATCCATACACTGATACTATGTTTACATTTTTTTTCTGGTGTAAGCTGTAATCATTCAATGTATATTAGTTGATACAGCTAGAATGATCCTATTTAATATTTTAATGATCTATAGTGAACAGTGCACCAAATAAGTTGAACATGAGTAACCAAATAATAATTGCCCAACAATGACAAGTAAGTATTCTATAAACAGAGATAGCGTAGCTAGACACAAAGATGTTCACAAATCGAGATTACAACTTTGTTTAAAGTGAACATAAATAAATTTGTATAGATACCCTATTTAACGTTGGAGTGTCAAGTAGCTTGATACTGCATTATGGATGAGGAATAACTGCTGTTATGGATATAACATAGCTCCAATATTCCCGGAGTATTTTTCAAAAATCAGAACACGTTTTACTAACGAGCCTTACACACTGTGTTGAAAATAGGATATAATCGCATTCCACTATCAAAAACCCCAGGTCCACAAAATTCATGTAGATATCATAAAAATGGCGTCAAGTAGGTTGAGTCTGCACTTTCCATGCAACTCTGTCATTAGTTCATAAAATATCTATCTTGGAAGATACTTAACATGAACAACAAAGGAATCAAATGGATCAAGTCAGGCAAGTAGGCCCATAAAATAATTAGTTTCCAATCCCCTCCTATTTGATAATATTGCGATCTGAAAATTTCTGCTATGCCCTACCTAAACGGGTAATGAATATATTTCTATCGTTTCAAATCTTAAAGGTAAATGTACGGGGAAATCTATGTATGAGATATGTCGAAAAGGTACGTAGAATTACTCAAAGATGCGTCTTTTTGTCGTAAGAAAAAAGAGATTTGATCCAATGCTTACCTCTCCACCAAGACACTGGACAGCTTGCACAAGACCTTGTAAGGTCTTGATATGAGCTCTGGCATCACAGCCTTTGGATGCAGCCAAATCTTCTAATAGCCAGTATAGAAAGTTCCAAATAAGTCCTGTACACATTCCTACAGCTACACACCAAATCAAGAATACTACAATTCTAGCATCTAACAACCACTTGCCTATATCACGAAGGATGTTGGACGACATTTTGGTTTGTTTGTGCTAAAATATGAAAGAGAAACTAGGAGTCTTGAATAATATTCTGTCAGCAAGTTAGTCCTGTTGAATAGGACCGTCTAAAAACTAATCGTACATTTTCAAAAAATGCATGTACAGTTTGACGACCTCAAGGTATTTGCATCTAGGAGTGATTATAGCACTGTGAAATTTCTAAGCCCATGCTTCGATAGATAGGTTAGTTACGCTTCACTTATTATGGACGATATAGTCCTCTACTGATGTTTGTAAAGTTTGTGACATTGTTAGTTTTTTAAGGGCAAACTAAACAGTGTTAGGGGAATAGGCCTTAAGGAGACATTAATCTACTATATTTTTGGCTAACTTTTTACTTAACTTCTTGAGATTTTTTTATAGATTGATATAGATATTTCTGTTACTTGTGATATCTTACCTGTACTCTTGAAGAAATGACAAAATCTAAAACTAGAAAAGTAGCTCCCATATAAAATGCAACAGAGTAATCTTTTTCCACTTTTCCTTTACTGAACATATCAATTAAAACGCCAGCAATTGCTGCTACAAAACCCCATCCTAAGGAACCAAATAGTCTTTGGTAGCCATACTTGCCGGGTTGGTCACCTGAAAAAACGTGGGGCCACATTGCATAGTTTGTTTCAAATTCGACTCACACCATTGGGACTTGGTAAAATATACGAAGTTGATTAAATGGAGGCAAAGTTGCGCATTTAGGTGACTAAGAATCTGTGGTAGTGGCACTTGAAAAGTTTAGCAATTCAGAGTATATCCGGAGATAGACGAATATTACCCGAAACCCCAAAATCGTATTTTTTTTTTGTTTAGTTTAGGTGGATTTTCTTAATGGATTACACAATGACATTGCCACTTTTTCGCCTCTATAAGGTATCATAATTGGAATTTCAATATGGCGTTTCATATGTTGCCCTCAATAATTAACTTTATTTTTTCTTATGGACATTATATTGGATTTTTGCACAGTTGATATTAAAGATTGCTGCAGTTTTTGAGAAGCATGTGTTTAATCCATTCAGATAATTTGCCCATTTATCGTCTATAACCCGTCTTTTTATCCCGATGTACATGACAGCTTACGCGTAGATCAATATTATTTGATTGCAACATGTGTGCTTCGGTTTAGATATGGCGGAAATGTCTTTAGCGACTTGCAAAATCGTCCTTCCTCTTCCTATTCTAAAATGATTCTGTTACTTTCATAGAATGATACTGTTTTTGATGTTTCCAATAATATCTTTATCCTTATTTATTTGATGAAATACTTTTTTAGACATTTGAAGCTTTCTAATCTCATACCATGATATGGACAATCACATCAATCAAATCTGAATTACCTAGTTCATAAAAATCTAAACGAATGCTTGGCTGGCTAATGATTGAAACACTAATGTATCTGATAAAATTTTGCGGCCTATTTAGGAAATTGATTTTCTTGAAATACTTATGATTTGGCAATGTCAATGTATGACATATTATATACTTTTGGAAACAAAACTAAAAATTCTACTCACCTATGCAAAAGCTCAAAATGCCGTCCATAAGGAAAATAAAGTTGACGATTGAACACAAGAAACGAAACGTCATACTGAAATGCTACTAATGCCACCTTCTAGAGGAGAAAAACAGGCAACGTTAATGTATAATTTATTTTGAAATTCCATTTTAAAATATATTAAAAAATAACGATTTTGAGAAATTTCTGTTTCTGAATTGTAACACCTTCCAAGTACCATACTCCTAGATACTCCAATTTATCCGATTTCCTATCTTTTACCGTTTCCTAGATCCCAATGGTGAGAATCGAATTTGAAATACCCGGTATAAAAAAGAAACACAAATGTGTTTTGGCACAGACAAGGTTGGAACCATAACATATTTACTACTACTATACCATCGTATAAATGTTGCATTCCAAAGTGGGGGAAATTTTATTATAAACTGAACTCGCAATCACCTCCAATAATCTAACCAAAAATGAAATTACAGATACTGAAATAACGATTTTGCAGACGTTTGGTTGTGTTATTTCAGCATCTGTGCCGAAGCGGCCGCGTAGGCAGAAGCCTGAATACCGGGGCACCGGCGATACTTTGTCATTTTTGAACTGCTTAAGGTAGGTAGAACTGGAAAAAGCCCCTCCGGCACATTGTTCCACAATCTCGACACTCTAGGGAAAGCTTTGACCTCGTACAAAGTGAGGAGATTATGTAGGTTATCCCTAAAGAGACAGCAGCTGCCGCGATTGACGAGATTGGATCGTGCCAGACTAACTCCTCGATGATCTGGACTCTGACCAGCCGAAATGAACGGCTCTTTGGTAGAACTCGGCCATCTATCGAAACCGGATGAGCGCTAGGGCGGTTCTTTTTTAGTCAAGGTACAGTGCTGTGTTTTGGAAGCATTAAACTCTACCAGATTATTGCGTCCCAAAGCAGTGATAACCTCCAACAGATCTATCATCAGAGAGGAAGTCGCTGCTAGTCTTCTCTTCTCTCCTGCACGCTTTCAGAAATCCTGCATGTAGAGTCCTGTCGTCAGCAAAGCTGTGGATCGGATGGATGGTACAGGAAAGGAGGTCGTTGATATGTAACAGAAACAATGTCGGAGCCAAGGCCGATCCCTGGGATACACCTGCGTTGACATTGTGGGGTGAAGAGGAGAACCCGTCAATTACGACCGATATCTTACGGCCAGGCAGGAAGTCAGCCACCCATCTATAAAGCTTCACTGGGAGGCTACAGGATGGAAGTTTGCATGAGAGGGCAGCATGCCACAGCTGAACGAAAGGTTTCGTAATATCAAGAGGAACGAATGTGCCTCACCACATTACTGGTTTGATTAACATATTCCACCAGAAGATACCCAATACAACTGAAAGCCGTGCCCGCGTGAAAATAAGTATATGTCGCTTGGTTCCGCTGCTTACAACTATGTACCTGTTAACCATCGTCTTTAGCCGATAGCGTTGCCGCCTCTCGGACTGTTGCTGCCGGTCATGGGATAAAAAATCTTAGGAATAATAACGAGAAAGGTTCAGGGGTGATTTTTCCTTGGAAGCGGCAAGGTCAGTACCTCTTTCTTGAAGCACCATCTCTACCTCTTGCCCCGCACCGACGGATTCTCCAGGGCAGTGGACGTCTAGGAGGTACTGGAGCAAGTTTAAATTGTTCAATGGCTAGTGAATCACATTTACCATACTGCCAGAATTGCCAGCCTCTACCGGGGCTGCCTTATTTCAAAGGAAACTGTATGTGAGCATCCAAATACAGCATAGAGTGGGGCATGTCCTTGGAGAATATGTTAATAGATGACAGTATTATATAATATGCTGTGCTAGAAACCTCACTTGAAAAACTGTCTTACCTAACAATTCGAAGCATATGGCATCTCCAATACTGACAGTAATAGCCATAGACACCCACATCAATACCATGAAAGCCAAGAAAAACCAAAACTGATACAAACTATAAACATCACTATCAGATATCGAAGGCTTGGTGACCATCTGCATGATGTCATAATCATCACATTCCAAGACACAAGTTGTGAACATACTACTGTCCATACATTTTGGCTGTGTTATGGTTTTGTTATTCAGAGTGATATTGGAGAAGCCAAATGATATAATGGATCCATCTTTTTTCTGAGTGACACTCATTTTGGATTTAGGCACATGTGCAATGAAGGGAAGGCTTTCTGGGTATGGAGGGAAACAATATTGTGGAAAATCCCATTCATGGCAAAGAAGTGATGTCAGATTCGTGTCTACTTTGCAGTTTATCTGAAAAAAATATGAATTATTGTACAGGTTGTCCTACAATAAATTGACAGCCATTCATAGCCTCTATGGCCTTAGATGGCCAAATCCAGCATCTACAGGTAAACATTCCTCCATTGTACACAAGTGACGTGCATCAGATCCCTATCATTGAGATTATTTTTTATAATACAGATGAGGGCCTAGTAGTAGGTAGATAGTACAAGCCAATCTGAGTCGATTTTGCTATAGGAACTACAGTCCGAAAATTAGCCGTTTTCGAATAATACTAATTTTTAAGATTTTATAAAATTAACGTTCTCTATACGTTAACCAAGTCATAAAACTTGAAAATTGGCTGTTTCATTTGATTTTTTTTTGTTTTACAATAAAAATATTCTAAACTACGAAAATTGATACTCAAAGGTACATTATTGACGTTATCTCATGCAATAAGCTTCAAAATAGTTCAATTTTCGTTAAAAAAATCTTCGTTCATCTCAAAAATTCAATTTACTAGAAACAATCACCTACAAAATTTTCGTGCAAAACAATTTTAAAATATTTACGTTTCATTACCTTTCAAATGAGGTATTAAAGTCACAAACCGGTTAAGAAATGACAAAGATATGAGTGAAATAAACAGGTAGAGCCGCGAAGATCGGACTTTGCCACCGGAATAGTGTGATAAGTAAGACTAGTCACCCCTCTCCCTCCCTCGCTTCAATCTGCTCTTACGATTTGTTGCGTTCGGATGTGTTTGTTTGCTCGCTGTTTTGATATTTCTAACGACTTGGCTCTTGTTGGACTTCCGTGTGTGATTCTTTTCCTGACGACCTAGACTGTACCCTGTTTTCTGTGATTCCTTACCCTTACGACTTGGCTGCTGTGTGACTTGATTGTTCGTTGATCTACCTATGCCGATATCCTTTTCTACTATGGAGATGCCAGAGGCAATGCTGAAGAAGCTCGTCGTGAGTATGGGGAAATGTTTCCTAATCGTCGCCTACCTGACGCTCGCGTATTTAGGCAAACGTTCCGTCGGGTTCGAGAGCGCGGTACCGTCGTAAGATATCAAGTTTGCATCATTGATAATTATTAACTTATCATAATCAGTCATTCAGTAACGCCTATGTAGAGCCAAGGAGGTCTGTGGGCTGAACTGATGATACTGTAACATAGTTGTTTTGATACAGTACATTGAACTTCTTAATTAAGAGTTTATTCATTTAATTTTAACACGAGCATCTACACGGCTCTGAAGATGGAAACATCCGCACGTTGTGTATCGTTTTTTCTAAATAATATTTTGCCAACTCTAGCTCATAGTCTTACCGCTATGTTTATTACGTAAAAATTTCCTCCAAAAAACCGTTGTTATTTGTTTTTTCATTGTATTTCAGGTGATGCAGGTAGACCTCGACATGATGTAGAAGAAGAAATATTAAATATTTTCCAAAGAGACCCTATTCTCTCTACTCGCGCTGTGGCTCGACGGCTTGGATTATCCCAATGGCAAGTGTGGTATGTTTTACATGAAAACATATTCCACCCTTAACTCCACACACCTGTGCACGTCATAGAGGAAGGAGAACCCATGAGGCGCATCCAATTTTGCCGTTTTATTTTAAACGCTGATGTTGAAGTAATTATTTAAGAAAAATTATATGGACCGACGAATCAAAATTTGACAAAGACGGCATAACAAACTACCATAACGCTCACTATTGGCGTAAACGTGCAGTGGGAAATCCTCATATGAAGAGACCAAAACGATCTCAAAGGCGATTTTGTCTGAATGTCTGGATGGGCAAAAAAAATAACTGTTTGGTAGGACCACATTTCCTTCCCGACAACTTAAATGGAGAAGCCTACGAAATTTTCTTCAGAAATGTTCTATTTGAATTACTTGAAGACCTGCCGTTACACACAAGACACAGAATGATTTTTCAGCATGTCGGGTGCCCAGCACATTTCAGACTGAGTGTTAGAAATTGGTTAAATGAGCATTTTCCGAATTGATCGATCGGTAGAGGCGGACCAATCCCATGGTCAGCATGCAGTCCCAATCTCACACCTATAGACTTTTTTGTGTGGGGTCGCATAAAAACTTTAGTATACTGTGATCAAAATCCTGTACCCACAATAGAAGACCTCGGCAACTGGATAATACATGCAGCACAAGAAATTCAAGCCGCTCGGCGCTCTTAGGAATTCGGCGGTAGTAAAATCAGCTGTCATAAGAGGGCGCCATATTGAAAATGTATTATAAAAATAAAAAATGTAGTTTCAATTAAATTATCCTGTATTAAGGTATGATTTTGTAAGTGTAGTATTTTTATTGCTGTTTCCTTCCTCCTCTTATAATAGTCATATTTTTGCCAATTCTTATCGATTTGTGATTTTTATACCTTATTTAAAAGGTAATGAAACGTAGATGTTTTCTAATTATTTTGTATGAAAAATTTTCTAGTAAACTGAAGCTTTTGAGATGAACGAAGATTTATTTAACAAAAATCGAACTATTTTGAAGCTTACTGCATGAGATAACGTCAATAATGTACATTTGAGTATCAATTTTCGTATTGTAGAATATTTTTATTGTAAAAACAAAAAAATCAAATGAAACACCCAATTTTCAAGTTTCATGACTTGGTTAACGTATAAAGGACGTTAATTTTATAAGATCTTAAAAATTAGTATAATTCGAAAACGGCTAATTTTCGGACAGTAGTTCCTATAGTAAAATCGCCTCAGATTGGCTTGTACTATCTCTCCCCACCGGCTCCGTATCTATTTTCCCGTCACCCTGTATACACGGTGGCCCATCCATGTGTGGGCGGAATATTACTCATAAACAAATACATTTTGGGAAAATCTATTTATGGCATGTTATACATGACATTTGAGGGCACATTTCTAAAATATTGGCCATTATACAGGGTGTCCCAATTTCGACCTACATATCAAAGTTGTGATTTTTCAAATAGAATGCCTTAAATTTTATTGCATATTTGGATAAACCAATTCAAAAGAAGAAAATTAATATAACATACTATGGGGCCTTGGTAATTAGTTACTGAGATATAAGGTGTTTTGTCTAGAAAAACCCCCCACTTCGGCATCCCCTCAGTCTGCCATTTTGAAATTTGGAGTGCTGAATTTTATGTAAAAAAAAACTTACACAACCTCAGCTTTTATCTTATTTGTGACTTTTTCGAATTTTGATTTTTGCTCATTAAAAACGCAAATTGTAGTTTTTCTCAAAAATTTCAAATGCATCACCCTGTATATTTGTGCAAATTTGGATTCAATTGTTCATAAGCTTTTTTTGATACTAGACACATAAGGTTTTTACGGCTATTTTTTCGGTTATTAGCACGTCTTCTATGGAACGGCTTAATTCCTTAAAATATCGCATCATCCTTGGAAACAAATAATTTGTTCATTAGTTACAAACTGTCAAAATTAGCTTTGTGAGCATTATTAATAAAAACGTGTTTGAAAATGAATTTTTCTAAAGAAGAAATGGTGAAGTTGGTGTTTGTTTTGGGCTAAGCCCAATGAAATAGTTTCCTAGCATCTCCCATTATATCTTGGCCTCCTAGATCACCAGATATGACACCAATAGACTTCTTTCTATGGGACTACGTTAAGCAAGAGGTTTATAGATATCCACCATCTACCCTGGAAAATATGAAGGAGAGGATTAAGGATGCTTTTCTGAACGTAAGACAACACATGCTGAGGGATGTGCAACGGTCATTCATCCAAAGACTACGGCTGTGCATTCAACATGATGTAGATATTTTCGAGCAGTTTTTGTAGATTAGCTCTTGAGTAGTGATAATTGTTTGTTTATGTTGTTATTATAGTTGTTTTTCTCTATTATGCTTGACGCTGAATACTGTTCTGATCGTAATTAGTTTTTACGTCAAATCTGTATTCTTAGTGGCAATATGGAACTAGCCCACTGTTTGTCTTTTGTTTCCATGGATGACGTGATTTTTGTCCTTAATTTTGGTGTGTTGTTCTATTAAAAACTTAATCACTCAAAATCTAGTGATTTTATCTGAATCAAACCTTATACTAAAAAAAAGCTTATAAAAAAATGAATACAAACTTGCACAAATATACTGGGTGATGCACTTGAAATTTTTGAGAAAAAGTACCTACAATTCGCGTTATTAGTATGAGCAAAAATGAAAATTCGAAAAAGTAACAAATAGGATAAAAGCTGAGGTGCGTAAGTTTTTTTTATACAAAATTTTCTGGACAAAACACCTTACATCTCAGTAGCTAAATACCAAAACCCCATAGTATGCTATATCAATCTTCTTCTTTTGAATTGGTTTATCCAAATTTGCAATAAATTTTGAGGCATTCCATGTAAAAAAATCACAACTTTGATATGTAGGCGAAAATTGCCTGTATAATTGCCAATATTTTAGAAATGTGCCTTCAAATGCCATGTATAACATGACATAAATAGATTTTTCCAAAATGTATTTGTTTATGAGTAATATTCCGTCCACACATGGGTGAGCCACCCTGTATATATATAAATGACATTGCCTGAAAAATTGTAGACACTACAACTTTTTTTTCTAAAAGGTCATACAAAAAAAGTTAAGAGAGGGGCCATCATAACATGACCAAAATGACACTCCTTATTTTCCAAACAATATTTAAATATACAAATTATGCTTTATGTATCAAAAATCAGAATGTCCCTCAAAATCCTGTACTTTTGAATTTATAAATCCAGATTAACACGTTCGCTGCCAGACATTTTTTAACATGTGTCCACTACGCCAAACATATATTTTACATTGAACACTAGTGGGCCACCATATAAAAAAGATGTTGGTCCCATCAGGGCCACATTCCTCATTATGAAAAAATCTAGGCCATGCTGGCCCTATTGGACCAATGTGGCCTGCTGAGGCAACATTAGTGTTGGTCCTATTGGACCAACATGGCAGTGAATGTGTTAAATAATGAACAAAAATTAAAGAATATCAGAAACTTACAAATCAAAATGGGGTAATGTTATTCCAGCAAAATATGAATTAGAAGTTCAATAAATGATACTTAGAATTAACAATGAAAAAATCTGAAGTAATATTTGAACACAAACCTCAGTCAACTCAAATATAATTCTGTAACAAAAAAAATCAGGCTACCATGAAGTATGACTTACCTGACACTGTTTTATTGTCTCATCTTTCTGAATCTGTTCTAAAGTACACTTATCAAGTTTCCCATCCATGTATGTACTGAGTGCTAGCACATCGCTTTGACATGAAAAGTCCACACTGTGGTCCAACTCAATTTTCGGGGAATAAAATATAGCTAAAAATGCCACTGCAGTCACTAGTTGATTTACTAAAAACAACGATTTGTGGCAGTGGAACTTATCTGCAATTGATCCAAACAAGGGTTTTGCTAACATGCCACTCACTGGAAGTATTGTATATATTAGGCCTACAACTACACTAGAGAAGCCTAGTTGCCTGGCATATGAGGATAAATAGGCTACAACTGGTCCGGTTCCTACAAAAAATGAGTTCTTTGAATATTTGAAAGGTTAGGTGGGTGTTGTAATAAATACCTGCATTGTATAGAAAATAATGGAATTTCATAGGCAGTAGCTTTTTATTTATTTGCAACCCCATCATTTTTGCAAGATAAAATCACAATCCGATAGAAAAATCTAGTTACCTACTGATCTTAACCTAAAAATCGGAACGATTAAAATGAATTGAAATACAAGAATGTCACCATATTACGTTTACTGGGGGGCACAATATGCGGTATCTGTTGCTGTAATCTTTATCACAAATTGCATAATCTTCAATTCACTGATAAAACTATGCTGGAACTTATATCACAACACCTTGCACTTCATACTCACTCTATTTTTGAAACTGGAGTAATTTCACAAATATGATTACATGAATGAAGAAAATAACACGTGGTTGTTACGTTTATAACCAAATTTTAATTATAGTGATATAGTGAGCTTTGAAAAATCGAAAGACTGGGATTTGGGATATGAATTTTGGAAATTGAAAGTAAAGAAGTGACAAATGAAAAATGTAGATGAAGGCTTAACCAATTAGCCAATGACGAGCCAAATTAGACGGATTAGACTGCTGACCGTGTGAGTGAGAAAAGAAAGAAAAATTTCCGAACTGCCAATCACGTGTTGACTCGACTCACATGTTGGATGTGGGTGGGGGCAAATCCTGATTGTCGTCAGTGATCCGATTCAAAGTACCTATTGGTTTTAGGAATTTGATCAAAAAGCAATTAGGTACGTCAATTCCGATTTAGTTGCGGTATTTTTGCTTACCTTTTCTTTGCGAAATCATGAGTAGACACGTTTTCCACTTGTAAAATAGAATGCAAAGTATTAATTGAGTTCAACCTCTACAGGGTGATTCACAAGTCGTGACCAAAAATGAAACATCACACACAGGCCGCATTTAAGGGGGTCTTCTATGTAACATTTTTACCTCAAGTGCTTTATTAAAAAGATAAGGGGTGTTGAAGATTAAAAATAAAAAACAATGTTTTTAATACTTACCTTCAAAACTGTCAACTGGAATGAACTAAAATTTGGTATGTGGATTTACCTAAGTATTGTCCATATTCAAAAGTCTTTACTCAAAATTAACGTGCACCAGTGGCGGAGATACAGGGGATTAGTGGCATTATTTTTCCAAATAAAAATAGTACACCACTGTTTTATAAACGAGCAATTTTTAGAATTTTACCTTCAATTTGATACAAATAATTACTCTTGTGTTTTTTCCTAGAGTGCACTGTCTGCAGCCCGGCGTCGAAGCAACGGCGAAATTTTTGTGAGCGGTTACTGCAAATGCATAATCAAAATGCAGATTTTATTGATTTGGTTTTGTGGTCAGATGAATCGCTTTTTACGAAAAGTTGAACCTTTAATTCTCATTATGACCATATTTGGTCGTTAGAAAATCCCCGTTCTGTAAGAATCCACTCGTTTCAACACAGATTTTCTAGAAATGTCTGGTGCGGCATTTTCAATGGCCAACTGTTTATGCAAACGTTTAAATGCAAACTCATACTTAGCTTTTCTAGAGAATTATACAGAAAATGTGTTAGATGATGTTCCGTTAGCAAAGAGAGTACGAATGTCTTATCAGTACGACGTTGCCCCACAGCATGTTCGTCGTGTCATAACCGCATGATTAAATAATCATTTTGGACAACGATGGATTTGCAGAAACGTACCCGTACATTGGCCTGCGAAGTCTCCTGATTCGAACCCCTGGATTTAGTTTTGTGGGGCTCTTTTTTGAACAACTAGTGTATGCTGAGCAAATTAATACTGTTGAAAAGTTTCAAGAAAGAATAGATAATGCCTTACATCAAACTCAAGTCGCAACAAATTTAGCGGAAATACGTTTTTCTTTCTTGAAAAGATGCGTCAGATTGGTGGTCTTTTTGAACACTTATTGAAATAAAGCTTTGATTATCTAATTCGTTTTCTTTTATTTTTACGAAAACAATGATTATTTGTAGCAATTTGAAGGTAAAATTCGAAAAATGCGCGTTTCGAAAAAAAAACATTCGCGTACTATTTTTATTTGGAAAAATAGTGCTACTAATCCCATCGCCACTGCTGCACGTTAATTTTAAGTAAAGACTTTCGAATATGGCAATACTTAGGTAAATCCATATACCAAAATTTAGTTCATTCCAGTTGACGCGTTTGAAGATATTAAAAAAATGTTTTCTATTTTTTAACTTCAACATCCGGAATCTTTTTGATGAAGCCTTCGAGGAAAAAATGTTACATAGAAGGCCCCCTTAAAATGCGGTCATGAGTATGTTTAATTTTTGATCACGACTTGTGAACCACCCTGTATATATTAGGCAAAGTTTAATTTTCTCCTGATATATTCCGTTTGGTTATGTAGCGACGAGTAATCGATCATATATTTGTTTGCACCAATGACGTCTTAGTTTGGACTATGGACTTCTATATTCTATACCTCTCCTGATAAAAACAGTTATTCCATATGACGTTGAATAAATAAGCAGTTGTATCGAGCTTAAAAAATATATATAACCTGTATGAGTATCACTCATTGGATTAAAAGCGAGCATTTTAGCATTCAAATACTGATTAAATTCATAATCATGATATATTCGTAATCTTACTGTTAAAACTTCGTAATTCCCAACCTTAAATGAGGATCTTAACAGATAGGGGTATGCATTGTGACAAGTATTTTGTCTCTTTTATGAAAATTTACTTAGGTATATGTTAGAATGTTAAGAGTAATATGTGGCAAAAATTTCGTATCTTTCTGATAAATTATTTTCAGAGACTGGGGTGTTTCACCCAAGGCAACTGTTTCTGCATCAACTAATCCAATTCATGTACAAACACAAAAACATTTGGATTCAATGGGCTTTACATGATCTTTCAAAAATGTTGATTATCTTGTTTATCTAAAACACTGAAATAGATTATGTCAAAGTCACGTATTATGATTTTCTTTCTTACGTTTATTATACCTACTTTTAGTCTTTGTTTGTCTCACCGCAAATTGTAGTTAATGGAATAAACGTTATTGTTATTATTATTAGTAGGCTCGTAAGACTTAACTTTCGAGAGTAGAATGGTGAAAAGAAATATTTGGTCTGGTATTTCAGTATACAGGGTCTTCCATTTAAGTCGCCCTATCTAATTATTTCGAAAACTACGCATTCTAGAAAAAAGTTTCTAACAAAAGTTGTAGAGAGTTCCGAGGGGGCAAAAATGATAGTCACCTTGACCATGACCGTGACCGCGATCTTCAAGATTGTTTTAAGGTGAAATTAATATTTTTAAATGGAACTCCTTTTTGTATACCTGTTACAAACCGAAAAAGACGCGGATAATTCAAGTTATTCGAGATTCTAATAATAAATAGACGCGGACTTTAGGACGTACATTTTCCGCGTTAGGGCGGTACAGAATGTCTTGTCCACTTAAAGCTAGAGGCCCTAGCGTAAGTGGGCAACTTCTTCTATATCTCTAGCCGTTTGACATAATTAAATAAAGCAGTCGCCTTCGATAATGCAACAAAAGTAAACCAATCATTTGTTATGATCATTATCGTTAATATTTACTACCTCATCATATGCAGATCAAGAGGTCGATAACTACCAGATTTGAAAAGATAACAACATTTCAAATTCAAATGTGCCCTTAACTTCAATGTCAATTTAAGGGCAAATCAAGTCATTTAAAACAATCTGCTCTAGTAAAAATATTGTTTTGTAAGGTTTGTGGGAGTCACTCAAAGGTGGCGATGACATTTATGGCAGGTCAAACCAAATTTTTTTTAAACCCCGTTCTTTTTATACTGGAATTTGTTAAAGCAGGAAATTTTATATCCTTGTCAAGTCAAGTCCATGTCAAGCCCATGTCAAGCCACGTGTCAAGTTTAAATGTCATTTATAAGGCAACCCCTAGATCCTCATGCAAAAATTGCAGAGTGCAAGAAATATAATATTTATATATTGAAGGTTATGGTCAATTCCAGGTTTGATTGTCTCCAAAAATCTCACTACGGTACTGTCGAACAGTTTTGCTAGAGCAAATCGTTTTTTTCAACGTCTTGAGTTTACTCTGAAATTGAACAAAAGGTCATGGTCATATTCGAATTTAAAATTGCCTCCTCTTTTCAAATCCGATGCAAAAAAATGAGATTCCATTTGAAAATATCCTCTTGGCCTTGAGGATCGTTCTCAAGGTCATGGTGACCATCATTTTGTCTCCTCGAAATCCTACTTCTGTCGTTTCGTTCTTGTTCTAGGATGCGAAATTTTATGTTTAGGTGAGGTGATTAGAATGTATAATTGAATAAAAAACGGAAATACTAAAAAGTTCAGCATTACAGTGTTTCTAAAAAGTTATACTCGATTCTAACACCAGAAATCACGCGACAATGTCAAGTTCAAGAACATAATGATAACGTATATAAAAACTGAGCTCGTAAATGATGTAGCAACCAGAATAAAATGAAATTTTTAGAACGTGTACACTCGTGGCTATTAATAAGAAAAGACAAAACCCAACCAGTAGATATTACTACTTCATGAGAGATACATTTAAAGCAGAACTGTTAAGATAAATTCAGTATTAATTGGCTAGAATTAAATGACTAGACAGAGCTTAAAACAGATTGATGAATGAATAAGATTGGTACTTGATACATCCATACTTTACGGACTTTAATGATAACTAATTCATTAATAAAGATCATAGACGTACTATAAGAGAAAACAATTATACAAGAAACACGAGGATGATGTGAGAATCTAAAAGGAAGATGTTAGGTAATTGCGTGGGCAAGTCCCAACTGAGTTTTATATTTTATCGTATGTCTACTAATCTTATTATTGAGAATGAAGGACCCAATCGTCCGACGTGCGATCACTTAAATTTCGCCTTACGAAATTCCACTTATTAAAACATTTTATTTTTGACTTTTCTCAAACTACTTTTATTGAATACAATAGCGAACGTAGAACAATAAAAAGTACATGTAAGTCGTGGAAAGTCTAAGCCAAGTCAAGGGCAAGATACTTGAGTTTGGTCCATCTTAGCAGCAGCGTTCTGGGATTCCTCTTTCTTGATTTTCTTGAGCAGGTGCCACTTGGTGAAGATTATGTAGTTGATCACCAAGATGATAAGGGTTATGGTACTCAAGGAAGATCTTAAATATACCTTTTGGAAGTAGACTTTTTGTAAATTTTCTTCGTCGGAGACTTGAAGTAGGATTTCGTTCAGCTTGTCTAGATATACTTTTTCTAGCGCAAGCCTCTTGACTAGAAGTCAAGTCAAGAAATTTGTTCCCTGTAATGTAACACTCTGGAGGAACAGTGATTAAGTATGAATCTTGCAGAATGGCTACGTTTTCTCCTTCGCAGTTGGTCTTGATTTTCAACGGTTCAGGAAATATACCAATGTAGTGAGCATAATCTTTATTCAGTAATTTGGCATGACATTCTGGGAGTCCATGTCCATCGATAACAGGAGATTAACAGTCTGGATTTTTGCTCATGGGCAACAGGAAATATACCAATGTAGTGAGCATAATCTTTATTCAGTAATTTGGCATGACATTCTGGGAGTCCATGTCCATCGATAACAGGAGATTAACAGTCTGGATTTTTGCTCATGGGCAACAGGTCGTTTTTCTAGCAGAAGTACTTTTCTTTTAGATCCAAACATGCTCTGTCGACTTGTTGGGAGTGTTTGTTTCTGAGGGTAAGGAATGACGAAGGAGATATAATAATGGTATTTTTTTAATTTGGAACCCAGATCTGAGGATGATTATGTGATTAAGATAATTGAATGATTGTTTCTTTGAGCTGCTTACGAGAAACTATACTAGGATGCAATATTCATTCCAAGACTTGCAAAATTAATATCACTTTCATTCCAAATTGATTT